AAGTTAACCTTGTGATAACATGCTAATGCCTGATTAATGTTGCAGTAATTAGACACAGCTTTTCACACTCAGTTAAGAGGACATCCTCCAGCAATTAGTTGGAGCCGCCGAGAGATAATTTCGGTGAACACAGCGGAATCACGCTCCTGGCGCGCTCTCTCGCCTCCGTTCCCACTTGGCAACATTAATTTTTTTTTTTTTAATTATTATTTTCTCATTATTTCATTTAATCACTCGTTTGATGTTTTATACAGCTGCCACGAGTAATCTTTGATCCAATTAGGAAACGCCTGATTGACGTGGCGGCTGAGGGCGTGGCTTTCAACGAGCGGCGTTCACTTTAGCCTCTCGTGATCTTATCGGAGGATCTGTGGAGGTTTAGCGGAATAACATCGAGGCTAATAATTGTGCTTAAAGGATAAACTGCGCGGGTGCATCTTTGTGTGTGTGTGTGTGTGTGTGTGTGTGTGTGTGTGTGTGTGTGTGTGCGTGTGCGTGTGTGTGCGTGTGTGTGAGAGAAGCAGGCTCGCGCAGACATCTTACAATGAGGAATGAAGCCATTAGTGAATGGAGGCCCCTGTGCTCAGAAGCCCGCACACTGAACATTAATAATGCACTGCCATGGACTAGATGGGGCTTTGCTGACATTAGGCCTGCATTAAAGACTCATTTGCTATTTCTATTAGAGACACACTATATAAGAAAAGACCTGCCCTCTTATAATTTGACTGAAAAAATCTGCTATGTTTTTTGTTTTTCCTACTCAGCATAAATTGTAAGTAAGTTCCAACAGATTCATTTTGTTTTTCTACATGGACATTGGTTATACACGTTTAATGACTAGGTCTAAAAAATGAATGACTGTGAGATTAAACCACATTATAGAGATAGTAAAGAAGCTTTCAGTGTTTATATGGGGTGAGTATTCAACAAAATGAGAAATTGTGCTATAAATGGGTATGTGTAACCATTGCGCTGCCTCCACCACAATTACCAGAGAGGATTGTTCCCTGATAGCTCCCAGTAGGTCATACTGTCAAAGTTAAACTTGAATACTTTATGGTTAGAGTTTGGTAGATTATAGCAACATGTTTTTTTATGAAAAGCTTAGTGTGAGTTTCTTGGCCCTCAAAGGCCTTTGAAGATTAATTTTCTACACTAGTTCTGTGTAGTGATGCAAAAGCAGGACTTTACAGTCACAGGGATTTTAACTTTACTTATTCAACTTTAATGATTTAGTTGAATGTTTCGAATAGAAATAACCCTCAATGTCCTCCAGTGTGGTAATTCACCACTATAAAAGTGAAACCTGTAGACAAAAATAAAACACAGAAAAACAGAAGTAGAAATAATAGGTTATGCTGTAAGGGCAAATTTACAGCACAAGAAAATAGTGTGCAGATATTAAAAATAATAAACTCCAGTTAATAGTGACTGAGTAGGATAATTAAGAAAAGGTACAAAGTGCATATTTGTGGATAAAAACAACAGATGATAAAAATTGTTATTTGTGCAGAGAACAAATGTCAGTTTGCTTATTTGCATGTTCAGCCAAAGGACAGTCCATCCTCCAAAGTTAAATGTCACTGAGCAGCTAACATGAACCAGAAAAACCTTTATTCTGTTCCCGAAAAGAAGAAAGATTCTTCAGCATGATGTTGAAATCTAGTCTGCCTGGACAGTTTGTACCGTTTTCCATTAATGTGCTTCACTTTTCATATGGATTTCAAACACTGTAATCACGTGAAGTGCTCACACTCCAAAAACTGCCAAGAGATATTGTCGGACTGTATTATTCACATTATTACTCCCTAAAATTAGCAAATAAATTGTACATTTGCTGACAACTTAATCACTCCTGTCTCTTTGTTTGTGAATTTGAAGCCTGAAATATTAAATATTAGGATACAGGATCCTGGAATATCATCCACTTAGGTCAAGTTTGCTCTTGATTTATGTTCGGTTATAATCTGTTTTATTAAGTATGGATTAATGGCTTGCAGTAAATCTTGACTGGCATTCTGGGCTTGGTGTATTTACCCACTGAAACAGCATAAGAGGGAGGATGATGATAAAAACTTCATAAGCACAAATGGCAGATCATATATCACAGTAATTAAAGTTTCTCTTTGAGAAAGTAGAAATGAAACCCTGAAACGATAAAATAGCTCTGCTGTTTTATCCCACATTTCACAACACTGGTTAAAATCAACTGTGTTCCTGGATTTGTCTTTAAGTGAAATACTTTAATAGACTAAAATTAAAGCTAACATAGGCTTTCTAACAATCAACAGATGAGTGGGAAGCATTGTTTTTCTTCATGACCAGAGAAATGCAGTTCCTAAGTGTTTTTTTTTTCTTTCTTTCTTTATTCCTTTCTTTCTACAGCATCCAAGATTTATGTAGGGCGTGTGAAATATCTCATTTATTTTGGCAAGAATGAACAGTGACTTATCTCCCAGACACTGGAAGATAATGAGGGTCGAACTGATGCAGATAGACGAATGATTACGTGTGAAAATGCAGCAGAAGAGCCTCGGTCTGCAGACAGTGTCATCATTTGCTTGACTTTGACAACTTTACAAGACCTACAGGGCCTTGCACAAGTATTCAAACCCCTTTAACCACAGTTCAATTTTTTTTTATTAATAGTTTTTGTGATAAGCTAAGTAGAAGAAAGGAAAATTCTTCTTTATGATTACAAATTTGGTGAATATGGCTTGTATTTGTATTTGACAACCATTTACGGATTAGAAGAATTGAGAACTGGTTGATGTGGGCGTTGGTCCATATCAAATCTGGTCTATATGGAGGAATGGAAAGAAAAAGAAACCTTGCTTTTTTATTATTTAAAAAGAGCCAAACAAAACCTTGTTTATGCAATGCAAGGGACACAAAAACTGTGATAGAAAGTGCTGAGGTCAAATAAGAACCGGTTTAGACTTTTTGGTCAAAATGCAAAACGCTTTTACCCTGAAACTTAACAAGACATATCTGGTTAAATAAAGGCTGCATAGGTATATATACATACATATTGTTCAAGCTGTGCCTGAAAAACAAAATATCACTCTACCATAAGAAAGTCAGCAGTTCCATGAAACATTAAAGAGGAATTGGAGAAGCGCTACATCCAGGAGAAGCTGTGTCCTATTCTGTGTCAGAAATGAGTTTTACAAACAGAGCAGGGGTGTAGTTTGGATACTGAACAATGACAATCTCAGGTTTGCTGATGAGCCGTAACCAACAGATAAACCTCTAAATGCTCTAAATGTCACCCTGGTTTCCCTCAAAGAAAAGAAGCACGTGATGATGAAGATGGTCTTTTCATCTGTACTCCCGATGACCTAGGCTGAATCAAGACACACACAGCTTTGAAGTCAGTATAAGTTTCCTGTTGTGTGACAGAATTGAACGCTGCATCATTGCTTTCCGTCTTCTTGACTCTCTGTTTTTCCACATTCCACCTTGTAGCACCTGAGGATTTTCAGGAAATCCCTGAGGTACCTTGAGGAAGACAGGCCTGAAATTTGGCTGCACCTGGAGGTAATCATTACCCCGATGATGGATGAGAGGCAGGACCAGATATGGGGAGCTGCTGGACTTCATGAAGGTGCTGCCACCTCCAGGGATTTCTCTTGACTTTACATTTCTAACTCTGTGAGACTCTGTATTCCAGGGAAGAACAGAATATATGACTCTCACCATTGTAATAAGTTTAAAATATAGTTAGTAGTTATTTTGAACTTAAATCTAACAAATAGAATATTTTTTTATTGGTATGTTGGTAAATAAATCACACGGCAGTCACAGCAAAGACTAGCTTAAAGACGTGGACTTTGGGAATAATTTATAAAGAGTGGATTGTTTAAATTATATGTAACCTGCTGCAGAATTGCATTGTGGGAGATTTATTATTATTATTATTATTATTATTATTATTATTATTATGGAAGAAGCTCGTTTTTTTGCCTGTGTTGCTCTGCAATGAGGAGCTACAATTGAAAACTACCCTTTATGGCTAACAGTGACATATTATTTTATGATAGGCATTGTCCCTTTTGAAATAAATTAACAACAACAGAACAAAAGCCTTTGCAATCAGTTTTCTTGTGTTGCAATGACTTGGGTTTTCCCTCATTCGTCATTGTACAGACACATGCATTGTTTCCCGTAGGTTATTGTTCCTTTCCAGCTTGTTGCAGGCAAACTGGGCTTTTTTAAGCACAGGTTCACTTGGGATTAGCTTTACAACAGCTGTTTAGGTTGTGTGTTTGGTGTGTAACGTTCTTAGTTTAAGCATTCATGGTGATTGGTGACAAAGCAGAAGAGAGTTTAACAAATCACTGAACCAACCCTGGCAGATCCTGCTGACAGATCCAGTGCGAATTTGTTATTTTCTCAGAATTACAAACGTCAAGGAAGAAATAGAAAAACATATCTTTCTTGGGGGGAAAAAAGTTTCTTTTTTACTCTCTTAAATAAGAATTATAAATAGCAACGATTGAATTAGATTTCTAAAATGAGCTTATCCTTGTAAAAATGTTGTTTCGGCTATCTGTAGTTTTCACTAGAGATAGGAAGAATGTATTTGTGGATAGGTGTAAAACTAACGCACATGAATTGAAAACAAGATATTTTTCCTTGAAAGTATGAAGTGAGTTATAGCTGGTATGTTGATTTTTAGATTCTTACACTTTGAAGGGATTTTAAAATAACCCAAAGGCATTCCTCATCAATATGTGTTTTATTTTGACTAGTTGGAGCGCCACTACTGATATCTCAAATTTAAGTACAAATTTAAGTATTATTTTATTATTAGTCATTTATAATAATTGATACCTTCAAATATAATTCCTACTATAGTAATGCACTTGTTGATAGCTTTATTTTTAATTTTTACTGGTACAAGTGCTACATAATGAGAAGGCAGACGATTTTTAAAATTAAATCTTATAACACCTTGCCATAGAATTCCTGCAACCCACTCTAAATAAGGTACGCTAGCCCCTCCTCAGTCAGCTGACGACGGTCCATGTTGCCAGGAAGTGCTTCGTTTTTCAGATCTAACCGGAATATAAGGAGGAGTAGCTGTTTAATACTACACTGCTGGGACATCACACCGAGCGTTTCATGGTAAACTAAGACCTGTGGGACAGAAATGTAGCGGTACAGAGCTGCTGGTCTGAGAGGACGGTTCTGGTGTGTTTTTGCTAGACCACAGATGCTAATGCTAGTAGTCTGGTTAGCTTAGCATTGAGCAGAGTTGTTTGGGTTTCGTTATTTGCTCTAATAACACGTTAGGCGAAAACTTTTTGAAGCGTTGGTGTTTGGCAGTTGGAGTAACTGTGACTTTGTTTTAGTTTATCACGAAGTTAAAACAGCTGAAAGCTGTAATGTAGTCAGTTTATGTTTTTTTTAATGTAAAACAGAATGTAACTACAATTCGTATCTAATTCTGTCTGGTAAATTGCTCGTTTTCTGTCGTTCTAGATGATATTTTTTTGTCAACGTAGAAAGTCTGGTCATGACGTCGGCTTTCCATAAATTTCACAATTTATGGAAACAATTGAGCTGGCCACTCAGCTGTGTTTTTGCTAAAAAATAAAATAAAATAAAAAATCTAGTGTTTTTTGGCTGGATCAAGTTGAGTTAAAAATGTCCAACTATTACTGTTATTATTTAGGAAAACATGACTTAAAAATAGCTGCATGGTTAAACGTAGTAAAGTTATGTTGCTTCACTGTAGTAAGCCTCAATAAATCACACATATAGATTTAGTGTGGAGATTTAAAATCCTAGGTTGCCATTCAATAACCTATATTGAGTAGTAAACATTTTACATTCTGAAATGTGTTTAATTTCACTTTCTGTTTGTTGCACTATGTCATTTCTCTAAGCAATACATTCCAAAAAGAAATGGTAAATGTGTTACATATAATCTCTAAACGTATTTTCTGATCGTCTCCTCAGGGTCAGCCATTGAGACATGGAGAGCTACAGCAGTGGTCGGCCATGGGGGAAGCTAGTCAAAGTGGACTCCAATGAAACGGTTCTGCTTTTCACTAAGGAATGTACAGTTGGCAGAAAAAAAGGTAGAAAAGGTTTTTTGTGTGTGTGTTTTTTTTTTTTTTGGAACGGACTAAGACGTCTCATTTTCTATTTCTAATTTGTGTTAGAAACGGCTAGTGTTTATCCCAGCTTTCAAAACTGCTCTCACCGAGTTAAAGTCCCCATTAAGAGAAGACGGCCCTTTCTGCGCTGTAGACGTTTCTGTCAGTGTCTGGAGCCTTTATAACCTCCCCCTTGAAATCACAAAGCCTCCTTTAGTGCCCCTAACTTAGACAGCCCCTTGTGATGAGAACAAAAGATGTCTATTGACAACATGCGTGTAGAATATTAAGTAGATTTTTTTTTTTTTTTTTTTTTTTTATGAGTTTTGCTTTAGAGCTGGTTAGGGCTATATATCCCTCTGTGTGTGCTTTGTGGTTGAGAGATTATGGGAATCTACTTTTTCTTTTTGTGCTATGCAAAGCCATTGGGGTTTGCAAAGATTGCATAAATTAGCCAATGTCTGGGTAATAAAATTCAAACACGTCATGGCAACTTAGTCTTTAGGTGCAAGGTGGGTTTGTTTTGACAGAATTGTTAACTATATGTTTCTATATCATTTATGATAAAACTAACAATTTGAAGCATAAAAAAGTTTTGGATAAGAAAATAGTGTTTCCTAAAAACACTTTTTTCTTATTTATTTATTTTTTTTTCAGGCTGCTATCTGTCCTTTCCATCCAATAAACTTGTCTCCGGGGAGCACTGCAAGATAGTAAAAGATGAACACTCAGGGCTGGTCTGGCTTGAAGACACGAGGTACTGTACCCCAAGAGTTTCAAATGAAATTCTACCCTATATTTAGCGCCATCTACCATTTCCTTAACTTCCTTATACCATTACTGCCATTCTGTGGAATTAGAACGTTTTGTTAAAAAATCATAATTTCCTTCATGCTCATATAATTTTTGGTTTAAGTTTTTAACATTCACTATGGAGGGGCAAAAGTGACATGAGCCTCAGGTTAAACATTGTGCTCTATATAAAAAAAATCGCAACAAAATATGTTTTTGAATGTAATGTGAAAAAATGTGGGCAGGGGGTTAAGCGCCAGGGGTGTACATACTTTTGGAAGCCACCATAATTATATTTCCAGACTTTGCTTATGAGTTTTCCTTCATTTAAAGAAGGCCTTATATTTCCTAAACTTTGTGGCTTAAAAAAAAACACCAAAAGACTTGGTAATATTTTATACTTTCATATGAGTTGGATTTAATATTTTCTAAATGAGAGAAGATATGCTGCATTGACTTGTTGCATCTCTGAACTGTTTTCTGCAGCACTAACGGCACAGTGATCAACTCGTCCAAAGTGGTCAGGAAGCAGACTCATGTGCTGCAGAACGGTGATGTCATCTACTTTGTGTACAGGAAGAGTGACCCTGATCAAAGTAAGCAGCTCAGAATCTGCTTATGCTCATTTATTTCTGCAGGCCTTTAATAGAAAAGACTCACAGCACATCTTGTTACTCTCTAGACATCGCCTATGTTTACCACTCTTTAAACATGGAGGCCGCTGTTCCAGAAGACAGTTGTAGTGAGTAGTTAGTTGGATAACGTCCTACAAGGGGCTCGTTGTATTGCGAGTCTGTTTTGATAGTTTCCCATCTCCACATGCACACAGAGAGGCCAGCCTGCAGTCTTTTTCCGGTTCTGGCTTCAGAGATGGCCTTCTCTGTGGAACCCGTAATGCTCACTAGAGCTCCTTTGGATCCAACTCAGGAGGAGCCTCAGCCTTCCACCTCCACTTCCCACTTTTGTATTAAGAAACCCTTGTCTAAAGCCCCCGTTTCATCAGCTTCTTCTGCTTTGGGTACGTTGTGTTTTTTCTTTTGATCGATTGATTGATGCTTTTTTTTTTCTTTTTTTTTTTAATCAAGTAACTTTTGACACGTGTTGGTCTTACCAGGCCAAGTTAAGGATGGAGCCTCAGCAGTAGAAGAACACTCAGGCAACCGGGAGCCAGAATGCAAAAGGAGGAGAACAGATGATGGTCGGTTTCTCATTTTGTTTTTCTGTGCATCTGTTTGTCTGTTTTTCCTCCTCATGTCGTATGTGGAATGTTTTTGTAAGTGAAACCAGACAACTTGTAAAAAGTCAGGGTTAACTTTGATGACAAATGCCAATGTTTTTACAGACTCTGATTTGTGCTGAACACGTACCCTTTTTACAGATGTGACGGGATCAGCTAAGGGGGATGTTCTGTCTAAACTGCCTGTGAAAGAGACTAAAACGGACAAGATGGAGGAGTCGCTGACATGCGTCATTTGCCAGGACCTGCTGCATGACTGCATCAGGTGAGAAGTCAGAAGAAAGGTCCTCAGGGACAGATGGACTCCAGATGGGGCTACCCTTTTCATCTGGACAAAAAAAAAAGTGTCCTTCTGAAATGTCTTTATTTTTTACAATGTATTGCATGGAAGCCAAGACAGAACTTACTGCATATACTTTTTCCAGATGCTTTTCTCTAGATAATGAGTTCATTTCCTGTTTTTCCTTTTTTTTTTCTTTTTTTTTTGGGGAGAAAAGAAGTCAGTTTCTAATTTTCTTTACATAGTGAGTTACTTTATTGATGGGTTTTCTGGAGACAATGAGTTAATTGCTAATTTTAGTGTCATAAAGAGTTCCTTTACCAATGGTTTTCTCGAGATAAGTTAATTTCCTGATGTTTTTCTCGACATAACGAGTTGATCGTGAGATGTTTGTTGTGTGTGTTAAACCTGATTGCTGTGGCTCTCATTTGAAGGATAACTCAATATTTCAAGAAAAACGTCGGGAAATTAACTTAATCTCGATAAAGATTATGCAGAGCCGTCCGCTCTTGGCTTCAGTAGTATTGTGTTTGTGTGTGTGAGACCCAATGTAGCACGTTTTTAGATTTAATAACCCACGTTGCTTGTCCCCCAGGTTTTTGTAGTTTTGCCCAATGAGACTTCATGTAATAAATCTCACTCTGGCCAGGAAAAGGGGCCTTTTTTTTCCCCATTTGAGCTCCTGTCCCTCAAAATGTCTGTGCATACCACTTAAGGTCCTTGATTGAATTTTTTATTTCTTTTTGGTCTGGCGTGTCACTTGCGCTTATGTCAGAGTTATATATTTGGCTCCATTGTTTTGTGCCTTCAGCTTACAGCCTTGCATGCATGTTTTCTGCGCCGCCTGCTACTCTGGCTGGATGGAGCGCTCGTCGCTGTGTCCCACCTGCCGCTGCCCCGTGGAGAGGATTTGTAAAAACCGCATTCTGAACGACCTGGTGGAGGCCTACCTCATCCAGCATCCAGGTTTGCACATAAGCATCATGACATGTAATGACACAAGAGCCTAGGGCTGGGCGATGTGGCCTAAAAATAAAACTTCTTTTCTCGATTTCCAATTTTAAGTGTTTTTATTTTCCCTCTCATTTTTTAAAATATTTCGAAAAACTGGCTTTTATTTAAATCGTCTCTTCTATGAGTCGTACGACAGAATATTAGGGCTCGGCTACGAGAAATTTTGTTAACCCCTTAAAGCTTGACACAAAGTAATTCTCAGAAAAAAGCTTTTGTTAAATTATATATCCAAATTTCGAAATTATATCGACATTACATTTATAAATTTCACATCAAGGGCTAATTTAAAAATATATTTAGAGCAATACTGAAGTCCAAATGCAGATGTGAATATATTTTGTACTTTTTTCATGATAGTATATTTTCTCGCATTATGGCTTTATTCTTGTAATATTCTGACTTTATTCTCGTCATATTGTTGTTTTTTATTATTATTGTTATTTTTATTATTGGTATACTATATTACTATTTATTATATTGTTTTTGTTATTATTATTATTAAAAAACTTAATGTTCTGTTGTGGAGTTGATGTGAATTGAAAGTCCAAATAAATAGAAGCTGTGAAACACGCTTGTCAAATAAGACGGTCGGCCTTGGGTGTTTCTAAAGTACGGAAAACAAAGGAGCGCATTTGTGGGGGAAAAAAAGAAGAAAACTCCAAATTTTTCAAAAATTACATTTTCAAAAAGCGATTTATCTTCCAGCCCTACGAGAAACCAAGATGTGCTTAGCTCAAGATTGTGTTTCTAAACCCGAAGCGCGCCTCTCTCTCTCTCTGTCTTACAGAGAAGAGTCGCAGTGAGGAAGACCTGAAGAGCATGAACAGCCAAAACAAGATCACTCAGGACATGTTGCAGCCCAAAGTGGAACGTTCCTTCTCTGAGGAGGAGGGCAGTTCAGATTACCTCTTTGAGCTGTCTGACAATGACAGCGACTCTTCAGATATTAGGTAAAAAAAAAAACAACAACAACAAAAACACCACTAAGCTAAGCTAAACCAGAGAAGCATGTTTATTTCCTTGGTCTTTACTCACCTTTGCTGTGCATTTCTTTCCCTGCAGTCAGCCCCTTCTGATGTGCAGGCAGTGTCCAGGCTACATGCGGGATATGGGCCAAGTTCTGTTTGCTTCGAGCTCAAACTATTGGTTCACTGGTCTTCCAACTCTGCCACCTGTCCAGCCTCCTCCCACACCTGAGTGTGGGGAGGGGGCAGCAAGGCCGGCCGGAGAGCAGCCCTCCACGTCCTCCGATCGACCCTCAGCTGACGGTGAGTCTAGATTAGGCGCCGGCTGGTGTGACGTTCAAACAGTTTGAACTCTGAGTTAAAATGTCGCAGTCTGTTCCCCAAAATCCTAAAGATAATATGTATAATAATCTAATGATTTACTTAAAGTGGGAATACAGCTGCTGGTGCTGGAATGTTATTACAGGTGCAGCATATTTGTTATTTAGAATGAAATCAGGCTAATTTTTGTAGATTTCAAGTGTGTAATCTGTAAAATAATGTAACGGGCCAAACGGGACATTTTCTAACAATGAAGGACAAAACGGAGGAAAATTGGGACAATTAATTTACATAAACTTGTTTTTTGTTTTACATAATTTTTGTCGCAATTTTTAGTTTTTGATTCTTACTTCCAAATTTTACAGAATAACATTTTATTTAGGTCAAGACCAACAAATTCTGATCCCAAACTTTTCAAAAGGTAATATTTCAGGAGGATATTTAGTTTTAAGCTTGAAGCTCACTATAGCAACCAGTCTGTAACACGTCTGAAGCTCCTTTGCTTGCCTCTGCTGCACAGCACCTCAGGAGTACTGCTGCCCCCCTCAGGGCCGCCACCTCATCTGCACCTGCTGCCTCCAGCCGATGCCAGACCGGCGGGCCGAGCTCAACAACCAGCAGCAAGTTATCGCTCAGCAATGTGAGTTGTCCCATCACCTGTTCGTCCCTCTTTTTACCTTTTAAAAATAAGTTGATTAATAAAAATGTGTGCCTTATAACTGCACAGATCGTGATAAATGAAGCTCAGCTGTGTAAAAACCTTCATATGTTGCGTGTTGGCAGGTATGCTGTGCCAGAGTCCGTTCTGCCACATGTACTGGGGCTGCCAGAGGATTGGCTGCCATGGCTGCTTGGCTCCATTCAGTGGTGTGTGTCACAGCCGTTCATCATTTAACATATGTGTGGTTTACTGATTTGATCGACTGCGTTGTCTTTAGTTGAACACTAAGCTCCAACTTTCTCCGTTTCTATTAAAAACGCTTTGTGACCAGTGACCTTTTCACCTGTTTTTTTTTTTTTTTTAAGAGCTTAATCTGACTGAAAAGTGTTTGGACGGCGTGCTGAACAACAACGCATACGAGTCAGAGGTTCTACAAGTAAGTAGACCCTTTATTATTTGTTTCTATCATTACTCTGCTCTTTTTGTTTTAAATCAGAGTTGTTGGTTTGTTTGTTTTTTAAAAGCATAATTTTTAAATGCTAATTTGTATGCACACCAAAGTGGAATAGAACTTCTGACTGCAGGATCTACTTTGAATTTGCATGATGTCTGGATATGAAATCCACATATCAATGTGTTATGATATTTAGTGTATTGATTTTATATTTTCACCAGAACTACCTTTCTGCTAAGGGGAAGACATGGAAAGATCTGCTCCAGGAGTCTTTGCAGGACTTACAGGAGGGAAAGTTTCTCCTGACAGGTGACTCCGCACATCAAAGTTCTTTATTGCTGCTCACTGAATCTTTTTTTTTTTTTTTTTTTTTTTTTTTTACCCTGCTTCTTTTTGGGTTACTTTCACGAAGTAGGAAAAAGAGAAGGTAAAATTAAGGAGGAACAGGAACAACAGACTGGCCAGACAACATAGCCATTAGAGTGACCTAGTCAAAGTAATGATGATGCACTAATTACAAATACATGCCACACTTTTCAGATATTGGTAACTTTATATTAGGGGTTCAATTAACTATTATTTTAGTAATCAATTTATTCTGACGATTAGTTGATTATTTGAATAAAAAACATTTTACAGATTTTTTTAAAACCATTTTTTTATACAATATTAAAAATACAATAAAAGATGCAAATAAGATTCAGCTCTTTTTTCATTGCCTAAAATGCAATCTGAAGATCTGAAACAGGGGAAACTAATGGTATACCGCTGGAGGAGTTTAGGCTAAAACATATTTCCAGAAAAAGGGTGTTATTTTTATCTTTAATGCAAAATGTTTATTTGTACAGTTTTGGCTTAATTGCTGCTCTAATTGTGCCTTTTTTCCTTTTTGAGTCTGTATACTGCAGTTAACAATTAATCGGTCGCTAAAATTAGTTGACGATTAAATGGATAAATGATTAATCGCTTCACCACTACTTTATATTCTTTTCGTTCCTCTTAAAAATGACTGCTGCCCTGCAGCAGAACTAAGTGAATAATATGTTAACATGTTGAATAAAATCCCAATAAGACACGTCGACGTTTGTGTAATAAGAAAACATGGACAAGTTCAAACAGTTCGAATACTTCTTGTCTAAATTCACAAAATGCCCTTTTCAAGAACACGTTGGCGCTCTCGTTTTGATGATGATGATGAGTGCTGACCGTCTCGTTCAGATTGTCGCATCTCTGCGGACACCCTGCTGTGTTCCTGCTGCGGCCTGCGAGCCTTCAAGGAGCTGGCCTACAAGTACAGACAGAACATCCCTCCGTCTGAACTGCCAGGTCTGAACTTTGTAAAGCTGCGGATTTTCTTTTCTTGTACATTTCAAACACTTTCACTGCGTTCCAGTAACATTCGTTCATCCTCAGCTTCTGTGACATCTCGTCCCGACTGTTACTGGGGGCGAAACTGCCGCACGCAGGTGAAGGCGCATCACGCAGTGTAAGTCCCGTGTCGCTTCTTCAGCAACCATAGTTTGATGTCAGAATTTGGTGCATGTCTTATCCCTATACGACCGCTAGAGGGAGACCTTGTATAAACCCTTTCTTTTTTTCTTTTTGTCTGAACACCAGGGTAAGATGTTTCTCTGTGCTTCTTGAATGCAAAGCTAATTCTTCCCTTCATCATTTCAGGAAATTCAACCACATATGTGAACAGACGCGTTTCAAGAGCTGAAGCAGCCGGTTCTTCTGCGTCAAATGCACATGTGAAACACGATCTCGATGCGTTTCGCTCTGCCCGACATGGACGACACGCCTTATGCAATTGCCTAATGCACATATTAACAATCAGTGTCCATTTACAACAATGACCGTGTTCCCCACAGATATTCAGGAGAATGGTATCTATGCACATTCAGATTATTCCCTTCAAGTGAAGGTCTTTTCACTCGTACAAGTTGCTGTTGCTCAGAATAAACACCCCGAAACAGCCGATATCTGGTAAAGGAATCATTTGTTTAGGTGGTGAAATGGTTAATGGTGTTTGTTAATGCCGCTGTCACCCTGGGCAACAAAAACTTCAATTTTTTTGTTAGATTAGAAGCTATTTGTGTATGGAAGAGGGATATGTACGCATGCTAAACAAGTCGTCTTTTTTTTTTTTTTCCCCTGTTTTCTTCATGAGAAAATTATTTTGTATCATTTTCCCAATATGCTAACATTATTATTCAGGGATTTCCATTACTCATTACATCTAAGTAATCATGTAAAATATCTTTACTAAGTAAATTACAATCGTATTCATTTATTTCACTAATTCTACTTAAAAAGTCAAAGTCTTGGAAGATAAAGATTCATTACTCTATGTATTTCAGCGTTTTTTTTTTTTTGTTTTTTGTTTTGTTTTTTGTTTTTTGGGGGGGGGTTAGCAAAATGCAGGTTGAAATGAACGAAAACCCAAAAATTAATTGTGGGAAAAATGAAAAAATGTTTTGGTCGTTTGCAATATTTTCTGATTTGATGTTATGCCAAACACAATCACTCAGAATGACTACCAGCAGAAATGCACTGACTGTTTTGACTGAAAGTAACCCACAAAAGATGATTGCTAAAAGGATATGGAAAGAAAAAAAGTGTGTCATATGAGTTTTCAAATTGAATTACTTAAATTACCTTACTCTTCCAACTTATTCAGATGCACCTATAAGGGTCACCGGAACAGGAGCAGTAAAGTATTTTCAGTCTAAAATAGTCCATCACAATGCTATATGTTGCTAGCATTAACCGGTTAAGTATTACCTCTTAGGGATTTTTTTCCCCCTGCTTATATCACTGCATTTCCAGGCAAAAAAAAAAACAACAAAAACACACTAAAACTCTAACACATTGTGATCCAGTGTGATATCTGTACAGGATTATGTTGTTGCCGTGTAGTAAGGGCTAATCTGTGTGATGAAATGCGTTGCTTCCTTCTGTAGAACTTCAGGGAAGAAAAGCGACGCGAAGTCAAAGCAGCTGCGACTCTCGGCTGCGTTTACGGGAAACTCTTAGACGGATCAAGCCAATAAGAGACGCGGCATGCACTCAGTTACTCGCATTGGTCTTACCTCTCTCATCAGAGCGTTGATCTCTGTTGATTTTTCTCTCATCGCTCCTCAGGTACACAACACTTTTTATTTTGAAACTTTCTTTGGAAAATGGGTGGGGGGAAAGCAGAAGTGCACTGACATCCTCTTTGAGACTATCAATATCTCAGATTATTAATGTAGTAACAACTGGACAAATCACACTTAGCTTCTTCTAGCTTCTGTCTAGCTGATATAGTAGATTTAAAGTTTTTTTTTATATATATATTAAAACTAAACTTACCAGTAATCTTCTGTTTATTAGTGTGTTGAAAATGGTGATGGATGTAAAGAAGTAGAAAATGCTTAAAGCAGGCCTTAGAAAGGCTAAGTTTAATGTGGATTTCTTATTGATTTTTGAAATTTATGCAGATTTGTTTTGTTTTTTTCTTGGACATGGATGATCTTTACTCAAATTTCTCACGTTTAAGAGAAAGTTCAAAACATTATTAAACATCCTAAGACAGTCTGTGCTGGGCGTATTGAAAATAAATTGCCTACAATATCTGGGTTTTAATCGTACAGAAAGATTAATTCCACAATATAATGGAGATTTAAGCACAAACTAAATTCCTTTATAGTATAAGAAAGTTGTTAGTTTCTGATGTACATGTAACTTATAGTTTTATGTTGCCTGTTAAATCAATGAGGCAAATAAAAAAAAAGTAGTTGTTAAAGGGCACTTTTCTGTTTCTACCTGTGTGTGGGATTTAGGTCACTGTTTTCTATATTTAAATTTTTTTTTTTTTTTTTTTCATGCCGGGTTGGGGTATGCATTCTTTAGCAGCTCAGCCTCTTGGCACAAGCCTGATCTATTCCCCCCCGCAGACGAGTTTTAATTATTCGCTACAGGAGATCCGGCTGAGCTAACAATCCCAAGCCGCTCCAATCAGGAATTGGTATTAGCGGCTTTTGAGGAGTGCTGTAATTTTTTTATTTTCCTGCAAAAAAAAAGAAATGTCCGGACAAAGATGCTCAGGAGTAAATCGGCAGGTTTCATTCTACCTCATCACATTTCATATGAAAGATGTTTGGATTCAAAAAGGACAAACGGAGAGAAGCTGCATGTGCTTCCTCTGTAAGGGGTGGATGTAAATCTTTCTAAATGCCTGTAACGCTTGGATGCATTGCACTATTTTAAGAATGAATTTAGATTATAATCAAGTTCTAGTTGAATCGTAGATCAGTAGGAAGATGCAGGAGTTAGTCGTGGACTTTGAGAAATGTACATTTCGTGGCATGGTGTCGACAGTACTGAAACTGTTTGAAATGCCTGTAGCTCTGACTTCTGATCATTTAAATATAATAAAATTGATATAGTTCAAAGGAAGTCTGGGTTGCCGTTTTTGTTCATGATTAAAATTTGTTTTACAGCCAAACGAACTCGCATGTTTTTGATTTCCTTCTGCTTTACGATGTAAAAGTATCGTCCATGAACATAGAGGATCCATCCGATCGTTTGTATTGGGGAATGTTGGAACAGGAACTCATTTCTCATGTTCTATAAATTTTATATAAAAAAATTTATAAAATAAATGGGATTTTCAGTGATATTCTAATTTATCAGAAATTATAAAACCTTCATGGAATGTTCACAATTTCGGTCAAAACATCCAAGAGCTTTTTTTTTTGTGCCAAATTAAGAACACCAGATGTTAACAGTAGCGTGTTTATTGAACCTTTACTTACATATGAAGGTTTAAGTGCTCTGTACTACATAACGGTCTCTATTCTCACTTTATATAGTATTCCAACTTCCCTTTTATAATCCGTTACCAGGAGAACGCGTACGCCGACGTGACAATGATATAAATGATTCATCTACGACCTACATAATACTTGTGGGTAAAAAGCGACGATGACCACATGGAGAACCGCAGGAAAGTGCCGCGGCTGAAATACAGGAGCTAAAAGAAATGAAGAAACGCCGTTCAGGCTTTTAACAAAGTCAGTTCCTCTGGAAAATGAACAGCTTTTTCTTTGTCCAAGAGCTTTTTTATATGTGTATATATGAACTGATGACCCAGCGCAAAGTCTTACCAAGTGTTTTTGGTTCGGTTTCTTGTAGTATTGCGTAATGTCGGAGTATGCTTGAAACAAGACAAAACTATCTGAAAAGAAGTTTTTCAGACAGAAATGGCTGAAAATTTTTTAATATTTGTGAAAAAATACTAGTTTTAAGTAAAAAAAAATAATAATCAGCCAGTGGAACAAGACATTTTCCCATTTAATGTTACAACCTGGGGGAAAATGGTAACTTTTAATATAAAAGTTATACTTTTAATACAAAAGTTAGAATATAAAACTGATAATATAATTTTTGTATTAAAAGTTATAACTCAAGCTTTTTCCATCAATATTAAATTACTGACTTAAATAAAGTTCCTCCTTCTTGCTCTAAAGTTAGTTTAGTCTTTTTATTTCAAGTCTACTAAAACATTTGCACTGGAAACTGGACCAAACATACTTGGTAAGACTTTGTATTTTTGCAGTGCAGAGTGGAGTTTGTAAAAGTTGATGTCAGAAAAAAAAAAAAAGGTGTTTTTTGTTGTTATTTTCACAGTGCCACTAGTTCATAAATCCAGGTCTCTGTCAGAACTGTCTCGTCCCTTGGCTCCGGGTCACATATGGTTTGTCACGGAGCACAGCCCCGTGGACAGACTCACAGACGGCTGGCCGTTCTTCAGCACCCCCGACTCGCTGAACGCTCCCGAAGCTGGCGGAGCGGCGCCGCCCGACACCTGACTCCCCCACGGCCTCCACTCCGGCCTGACCCTCTTGGGGCTGACGCCGCCCGTGGGAGGCCGTTTGCTCTCGTGCTTCGCCCTGACCGGTCCGTTCGTCCGCTCCAGGTGCTGAGCCGAGACCAGCGGCTGCCTGTCCTCCTCCTCGGAGATGGCGAACACCGGCACGCTGATGTGGTCGCCCTCGCCTGGGAACTCCAGCCTCTTTCCGCTCTCGACGTGGCACTGAGCGGAAGAGGACGAGGAAGAGCAGGGTGAGGAAGAGGAGCCATGGCCGGTCTCTGAGAGGACACAGCCCGGGGGGACGCCGCCCCCCTTCGGTGGATCTTTTGTTTCGGAGAGGAGGCCGAAACACGGTCCGGTGAAGCGGGAGCGGCGCAGGTTGCTGGTGGAGTTGAGGCGGTGCTGTCGCTGTGCGGGCTGCGTCAGGGGGTAGGAGGCGGTGCTGGCGGAGGAGTCGGAGACGACGCTGGTGTTCGCCTGGGCCTCCAGGTGGGCGTCGGAGAACACCTTCCTGCTGTGGCTTTCTTTACGGTCGGGGATCAAACCAGATGGCGTCTGAAATTAAATATTCGACAGGTTAGAAGATATTAAACTGGGTTCTCAGAATGTCAGTCGCTGTAAAGCACAACGTGTCAAACTCAAATCCAGATCTTTATGCAGCCCTCTAGATTCCAGAGGGATGCAGAAATACAACCTTCAACAGTTGTGTGCTTAAATATGATTTTATCAATCAAACCAAAACGGCTTTTGTCTGTGTACTGCCAAATTACATCAATCAATCCCAAGTTTTTCGCAATTCCACAATCGCCAAAATTCACAGAAAAATACTTTTTTGTGCTAATGCATCAGTAAGTGTTTAATGACAGTAGCATTGTCTCAAATGCAGACACTACTATTTGTTAACATTTGAACAGTTTTTTAGTGGGTTTTATCAATCCATTCGAGCTCAACCGGCCCTTTAAGAACATCCATGCTCATGATACACCCCAAAGTGAAACTGATTCTGGAGCGCTGCAGTAAAGAGCCGAGTACTGACGTTGTCCACCAGCTTGGTGAAGGGGCTGGTGGAGTTCCAGCTGCACCACTTCTTGTGAAGCTGCGGAAGCGGAGGCAGGAAGTCCTGGAAGGTGCGTACGCTCCACGCTCTCGGCCGCGAGCAGACGCTCTCTTTAAGGGACCTGGCCCCGGCCGGCGACGTGCTGGGGTCCACTGAGGGCCAGTCGCACGAAGGACCGGGGCCGGTGTCACTGTGTCGCAGGAACCTCTCCCGCTGCTAAGAAACACACAAGTCTTTCAAGTAAGACATGGATATGAGTGAATCCAAACAACAACACAAACATATTAGTCCACATTATGTAACTTTCACGTTTTATCATGTTGCAAAACTTAATGCATCCTATTAAATTTTATATCATGAATCAACAGAAAGTAGATGATAGTAACGGAGTGGCAGAAAAGAGAGACATGATTTTAAGCCTTTTTTTAATATTCAAATAAAAATCTGACAAGTGTGGCGTACATTTGTTTTCAGCTCCATTTGCTATAAGACCCCTGAATAAAATAAAATAATAATATTCAAAATATTTTAAAAGTGTGGCACAGAAAAAAATCTACCAATACTTAATCTCTCATCTGAACTAACCTGCCAAACGAGTCGGGCATTTATCGTATCGTTTATCATTTATCGTGATAAATTTCTTAGAAGGATTTTTCATTTATCGTTAAGTTTAAAAGTGAAAAGAAAAACTCTCCATGCTGTGGGGATTGTCAGTTTTAATATTTTCTCCACTGTTTGTTTAATGACAATGTCATTACATATCAATAAAATTAAAATAATGTTTAAATGCTGTGTGCAATTTAGTGACACTTTTTCATGACACTGCATTATAACATGTTGCCTTTCATTGTTCATCCAAGTTAATTTTCTTTTTTTCTTCCAAATCTCTCAATTAAAAAAGAATATATATATTGCCTACTTTTTTTTCTATTTATTTATTTTACACTTTTTCTTGGTTGCTTTTTCTGAACTTGCAACCTCTGGCTGCAGGGATTCATGGATACCAAACAAACGCAAGAAAGGAAGGAAGAAGCTATGTGGCAAATAAATGAGCAGAGGTTAAAAGACAAGAGTTGCCCAAAGACTGTAAACAAACAAATCAGAAATAAGGTTCAACAGGCAACATAAATAGCTTCCATATCAGAGGCGGCATTATTCTTAAGCACTCAACTGCAGCAGGAAGGTCGATGACCTGCACCGGGCCGGACAGACCGTCAACAAATCAAGCACGCATCTCTGCTAGAGCAACAACCGATGGTCGTCGCTAAGGACGTACAAACTGTGTTTTTAACTGTCAAACCATCGCCTGGAGAACTGAATTAGACTGAGATAAGCCGGTTTTTTACCGTTATCCTCTGCTATCAAACGACAGATACGGTTTGGAATATAAAGAAGTGACAGTCTGTTATTTCAGACGGAAGACAGCTTTACAGCTGAATGCCTCCCAATGCATTTACAGTAGTTGTGTATGATGCATTTGCAAAAGCAAAGGGTGCTGATTAGTTGAGGCCACTAACTGTGCGCATGTCTCTTAGAATCCTCATCATTTTTTATTAAGAGTCAATAAAAAAAAAATGGGAATTTTGGAATGATTTCAGTTTTATCTGGAGGAAAACTGCACTGCCAAAAAAAAAAAAAAAAAAAAAAATTTTACCAAGTGTTTTTGGTCA